TGTTTAAGGTTCTTGAAAGGAAGGTTTTGGTATTGAATAAGGAATTGTTTTTAAGAGGGGAAGGCCTTTAAGGAAATGAGAAAAAGGGTTTGGGTTAAGGTAATAAAGAAAGGGAAGGTTTTAAGGTAACTATGATTAAAGGGAAGGGTTTGGTTAAGGTACTATATGAAGGAAGGTTTTAGGTTTAAATATATAAGTGAAGGAAGGCTCTGTTTAAGGTATCTATGAAGGAAGGAAGGCTGTTTAAAACTAGAAGGAAGGGGTTTTATAGGAATAAGGAAGGAGGTTGTTAATAAAAGGAAGGCCCTTTTTAAGGTAACTATGAAGGGGGGAAGGCTTGTTTAAGTTATGAAGTAAAGGAAGGCCTTTTTAAAAATTTTTAAATGAGAAGGTCTTTTAAGGTTCTATGAAAAAGGAAGGCTCTGTTTAAGGTTCTATAAGTGGTAAAAGGGCCCTTTTAAGGTAACTAGGGTTGAGAAGGTTTTTAAGGAAAAGGTGAAGGTAAAGGAAGGAGGCTCTGTTAAGGTAACAATTGAAGGAAGGCCGTTTAAGGTAACTATATGTAAGGGGAAGCTCTTTTTAAAGGGAAAATAATGAAGGAAGGAAGGGTCTTTAAGGTACATGAAGTGAAAAAGGGGGCTTTTTAAGGTATCTATGAGTGGAAGGGTTGTTTAAGTAACTTAAAAAGGAAAGGCTTTTTAAGGTACTATAAAGGAAGGAAGGCTCTGTTTAAGGTAAATGAGTGAAGGAAGGCTTGTTTAAGGTAATATGAAGGAAGGAGGCTTTTTATAACTAAAGAAGGAAGGCTCTTTTTGGTTATGAGGGGGGGGTTTTAAGGTTTATGAGAGGAAGGCCGGTTTAAATATTATTGAAGGAAGGCCTGTTTAGGTATTGGAAGTGTGGAAGGCTTGTTTAGGTATTATAATAAAGGGTTGTTATTTTAAATTGATGTGAAGGAAGGTTGTTAATGTAACTATGGAAGGAAGGTCGTTTGGGAACTTGATGAAGGGAAAGGGTTTTTTTAAGGAAAAGAAGAAGGGGGTCGTTACTTAAAAATGGGGTATGACCTTTTTAATATTTGAATTGAAGGAAGGCTTTTAAGGTAAACTATGATTGGGAAAGGGCTTTTTAAGTAACTATAAAGGAAGGAAGGCTCTTTTTAGGTACATGATGGAAGGAAGGCTCTTTTTGGGTAAGGAAGTAAGGAAGGTCTGTTAAGGTAACTATGATGGAAGGAGCTTTTAGGTAACTATGATGAAGGAAGGCCTTTTAAGGAAAAGGGAAGGGTCTGTTTAAGGTAAAGTAAGGAAGGTCTGTTTAATAAAAAAGGGAAAGGACGTTTAGGTTAGGTACAGGAATGTAAGGAATAGTAAAAATTGTTGTTAAGAATTGGTAAGGAACTTTTAGGTAATGAAAAGAGGTTTTTTCAGGAGTGGGTCATTTAAGTGATAAGGAAGGGGTTAAGGTATTAAATGGAAGGGCTTGTTTGGTAATAAATAAAGGAAGGCCTGTTTAGGAATAAAGGAAGGAAAGGCTTTTTAAGGTTTATAAGAAAAAAGGAAGGTCTGTTTAAGGTAAAAATGAAAAGGCTTTTAAAAAATAAAGTGAAGGAACTTTAAGAAATAGAAGTAAGGGAAGGCTCTGTTTAAGGTATATAAGTAAAAAGGCTTTTTAAGGTTATGAAGTGAAGGAGGCTCTGTTTAAGTATTTGAATGGGAAGGGGTTTAAGTTAATGAAAGAAGGGTTAAGGTAAAGAGGAAGGAAGGTCTGTTTAAGGTAAATGAATTGAAGGAAGTTTTTAGGAATATGAAAAGGAAGGTTTTAAGTTTTTTAGGAAGTGAAGAAAGTTCTTTTGGTTAACTTATGATGTGAAGGAGCTCTGTTTAATGAAAGATGAAGGAGGTTGGTTTAGGAATATGAAGGAGGAAGGTTGTTTAAGGTACATAAGTTAAGGAGGCTCTGTTTAAGGTATATGAAGTAAGGGAAAGGCTCTTTAAGGTATCTATGAAGGAAGGAAGGCTCTGTTTAAGGAAAATTAGGGAAGGGGTTGGTTTAATAATTGAAAAGGAGGCTGTTTAAGGAAAAATTTTGGAAGGTTGGTTAGGTTTAAGGAACCTTTAAGGTTTTTTAAGGAAAAAGGAATTTTGGGGGGTTTTTTAAGGGGAAGTTTTAAGGGAAAAATTTTTGAAAATTTTTAAGGTGACTTGAGGAAGGAAGGCTCTGTCACTTGGAAACTATGAAGTGAAAGGAAGGCTCGTTAATTGGTAAACTATGATGTGAAGGGAAGGGACTCTGTGTACTTGGTAAACTATGATGTGAAGGAAGGGGATTGTTAAGTACAACTATGATGTAAAGGAAGGCTCTGTTTAAGGTATCCTATGAAGTGAAGGAATAGTCTCTGTTTAAGGTTAACTAGATTGTAAAGGAAGGCTATGTTTAACGGTAAATTATGATGTGAAGGAAGGCTTTGTTGTTTAACCACCCCGGTAACTATGATTGTGAAGGAAGGCTTGGTTTAAGGAATAATATGATGTGAAGGACGGCTCTTGTATTGGTAATATGATGTGAAGGAAGGTATGTTACTTGGTAAATTATGGTGTGAAGGAAGGCTCTGGTTACTTGGTAAACTATGATGTGAAGGAAGGCCTGTTACTTTGGTACTGTTATGTGAAGGAAGGCTCAGTTACTTGGTAACTGTGATGTGAAGGAAGCTCTGTTAAAGGTAATTATGAATTGAGGAAGGCTTGTTAAGTAACTATGGAGTAAAGCGAAAGGCTATGTGTAAGGATAACTATGAAGTGAAGGAAGGTAGGTTTGAAGGTATCTAGAAGTAAAGAAGGCACTGTTTAAGGTAAATATGAAGTATTGAAAGGAAGGCTCTGTTTAAGGAAAATATTGAAGTGAAGGAAGGATCCGTTTAACGTATTATGAAGTGAAGAAATGCTCTGGTTAAGGTAGCTATGAAGTGAAAGGAAGGCTCTGTTTTAAGGTATCTAGAAGGAAGGAAGGCTTCTGTTAAGGGATTTATGAAGTGAAGGATGGCTCTGCTAACCGGTAACTATGAAGTGAAGAAGATAATGTTTAAGGGTTAAACTAGGAAGTGAAGGAAGGCTCTGTTTAAGGTTATCTATGAAGGAAGGAAAGTACTCTGTTTACCGGTTATCTATGAAGGAAGGAGGCTTTTTTAAGGTGTCTATATGAAGTGAAGGAAGGTTGTTAAGGTTAAAACTTATGTGTGAAGGAAGGTCTGTAATTGGTACTATGAAGTGAAGGGACGGCTCGGTTACTTGGAAACTATGATGTTGAAGTAAGGCTGTTACTTGGGAAAGATGAATGTGAAGAAGGCTCTGTTTAAGGTATCTATGAAAGTGAAGGAAGGCTCTCTTTAAGGTACTATGAAGTGAAGGAAGGCTCTGTTTTAAGTATCTATGAAGTGAGGAAGGCTCTGTTTAAGTACTATGAGTGAAGGAGGCTCTGTTTAATGTTCTATGAAGTGAAGGAAGGCTCTGTTTTAAGGTCTATGAAGTGAAGGAAGGCTCTGTTTAAGGTAACTATGAAGTGAAGGAAGGCTATGTTTAAGGTAGCTATGAAGTAAAGGAAGGCTCTGTTTTAAGGTATCTATGAAGTGAGGAAGGCTCTGTTTAAGGTATCTATGAAGTGAAGAAGGCTCTGTTTAAGGTAACTATGATGTGAAGGAAAGGCTCTGTTTAAGGTAACTATGAAGTGAAGGAAGGCTCTCTTTAAGGTACTATGAAGTGAAGGAAGGCTCTGTTTAAGGTATCTATGAAGTGAAGGAAGGCTCTGTTTAAAGGTAACTATGAAGTGAAGGAAGGCTCTGTTTAATGTATCTATGAAGTGAAGGAAGGCTCTGTTTAAGGGTAACTATGAAGTGAAGGAAGGCTCTGTTTTAAGGTAACTATGAAGTGAAGGAAGGCTATGTGTTAAGGTAGCTATGAAGTAAAGGAAGGCTCTGTTTAAGGTATCTATGAAGTGAGGGAAGGCTCTGTTTAAGGTATCTATGAAGTGAAGGAAGGCTCTGTTTAACATATCTATGACATGAAGAAGGCTCTGTTTAAGGTATCTATGAAGTGATGGAAGGCTCTGTTTAAGGTATATATGAAGTAAAGGAAGGCTCTGTTTAAGGTAACTATGAAGTGAAGAAGGCTCTGTTTAAGGTATCTATGAAGTGAAGGAAGGCTCTGTTTAAAGGTAACCTATGATTGAAGGAAGGCTCTGTTTAAGGTAACTATGAGTGAAGGGAAGGCTCTGTTTAAGGTACTATTGAAGTGAAGGAAGGCTCTCTTTAAGGTAACTATGAAGTGAAGGAAGGCTCTGTTTAAGGTATCTATGAAGTGAAGGAAGGCTCTGTTTAAGGTAACTATGAAGTGAAGGAAGGCTCTGTTTAATGTATCTATGAAGTGAAGGAAGGCTCTGTTTAGGTAACTATGAAGTGAAGGAAGGCTCTGTTTAAAAAAGGCTATGAAGTAAAGGAAGGCTCTGTTTAAGGTAACTATGAAGTGAAGGAAGGCTCTGTTTAAAAAAGCTATGAAGTAAAGGAAGGCTCTGTTTAAGGTAACTATGAAGTGAAGGAAGGCTCTGTTTAAAAAAGCTATGAAGTAAAGGAAGGCTCTGTTTAAGGTAACTATGAAGTGAAGGAAGGCTCTGTTTAAGGAAAAAATATGAAGTGAAGGAAGGCTCTGTTTAAGGTATCTATGAAGTGAAGAAAGGCTCTGTTTAAGGTAGCTATGAAGAAAAGGAAGGTTCTGTTTAAGGTATCTATGAAGTGAAGGAAGGCTCTGTTTAAGGTATCTATGAAGTGAAGGAAAGCTCTGTTTAAGGTATCTATGAAGTGAAGGAAGGATCTGTTTAAGGTAACTATGATGTAAAGGAAGGCTGTGTTTAAGGTAACTATTATTTGAAGGAAGGCTCTGTTACTTGGTAACTATGAAGTGAAGGAAGGCTCTGTTACTTGGTAACTATGATGTGAAGTAAGGCTGTTACTTGGTAACTATGAAGTGAAGGAAAGCTCTTTTTAAGGTATCTATGAAGTGAAGGAAGGCTCTGTTTAAGGTAACTATGAAGTGAAGGAAGGCTCTGTTTAAGGTATCTATGAAGTGAAGGAAGGCTCTGTTTAAGGTAACTATGATGTGAAGGAAGGCTCTGTTTAAGGTAACTATGATGTGAAGGAAGGCTCTGTTTAAGGTAACTATGAAGTGAAGGAAGGCTCTCTTTAAGGTAACTATGAAGTGAAGGAAGGCTCTGTTTAAGGTATCTATGAAGTGAAGGAAGGCTCTGTTTAAGGTAACTATGAAGTGAAGGAAGGCTCTGTTTAATGTATCTATGAAGTGAAGGAAGGCTCTGTTTAAGGTAACTATGAAGTGAAGGAAGGCTCTGTTTAAGGTAACTATGAAGTGAAGGAAGGCTATGTTTAAGGTAGCTATGAAGTAAAGGAAGGCTCTGTTTAAGGTATCTATGAAGTGAGGGAAGGCTCTGTTTAAGGTATCTATGAAGTGAAGGAAGGCTCTGTTTAACATATCTATGACATGAAGGAAGGCTCTGTTTAAGGTATCTATGAAGTGATGGAAGGCTCTGTTTAAGGTATCTATGAAGTAAAGGAAGGCTCTGTTTAAGGTAACTATGATGTGAAGGAAGGCTCTGTTAAGGTACTATGAAGTGAAGGGAAGGCTCTCTTTAAGGTAACTATGAAGTGAAGGGAAGGCTCTTTTAAGGTATCTATGAAGTGAAGGAAGGCTCTGTTTTAAGGTAACTATGAAGTGAAGGTAGGCTCTGTTTAATGTATCTATGAAGTGAAGGAAGGCTCTGTTTAAGGTAACTATGAAGTGAAGGAAGGCTCCTGTTTAAGGTAACTATGAAGTGAAGGAAGGCTATGTTTAAGGTAGCTATGAGTAAAGGAAGGCTCTGTTTAAGGTATCTATGAAGGTGAGGAAGGCTCTGTTTAAGGTATCTATGAAGTGAAGGAAGGCTCTGTTTAACATATCTATGACATGAAGGAAGGCTCTGTTTAAGGTATCTATGAAGTGATGGAAGGCTCTGTTTAAGGTATATATGAAGTAAAGGAAGGCTCTGTTTAAGGTAACTATGAAGTGAAGGAAGGCTCTGTTTAAGGTATCTATGAAGTGAAGGAAGGCTCTGTTTAAGGTAACTATGATGTGAAGGAAGGCTCTGTTTAAGGTAACTATGATGTGAAGGAAGGCTCTGTTTAAGGTAACTATGAAGTGAAGGAAGGCTCTCTTTAAGGTAACTATGAAGTGAAGGAAGGCTCTGTTTAAGGTATCTATGAAGTGAAGGAAGGCTCTGTTTAAGGTAACTATGAAGTGAAGGAAGGCTCTGTTTAATGTATCTATGAAGTGAAGGAAGGCTCTGTTTAAGGTAACTATGAAGTGAAGGAAGGCTCTGTTTAAAAAAGCTATGAAGTAAAGGAAGGCTCTGTTTAAGGTAACTATGAAGTGAAGGAAGGCTCTGTTTAAAAAAGCTATGAAGTAAAGGAAAGGCCTCTGTTTAAGGTAACTATGAAGTGAAGGAAGGCTCTGTTTAAAAAAGCTATGAAGTAAAGGAAGGCTCTGTTTAAGGTAACTATGAAGTGAAGGAAGGCTCTGTTTAAGGAAAAAATATGAAGTGAAGGAAGGCTCTGTTTAAGGTATCTATGAAGTGAAGAAAGGCTCTGTTTAAGGTAGCTATGAAGAAAAGGAAGGTTCTGTTTAAGGTATCTATGAAGTGAAGGAAGGCTCTGTTTAAGGTATCTATGAAGTGAAGGAAAGCTCTGTTTAAGGTATCTATGAAGTGAAGGAAGGATCTGTTTAAGGTAACTATGATGTAAAGGAAGGCTGTGTTTAAGGTAACTATTATTTGAAGGAAGGCTCTGTTACTTGGTAACTATGAAGTGAAGGAAGGCTCTGTTACTTGGTAACTATGATGTGAAGTAAGGCTGTTACTTGGTAACTATGAAGTGAAGGAAAGCTCTTTTTAAGGTATCTATGAAGTGAAGGAAGGCTCTGTTTAAGGTAACTATGAAGTGAAGGAAGGCTCTGTTTAAGGTATCTATGAAGTGAAGGAAGGCTCTGTTTAAGGTAACTATGATGTGAAGGAAGGCTCTGTTTAAGGTAACTATGATGTGAAGGAAGGCTCTGTTTAAGGTAACTATGAAGTGAAGGAAGGCTCTCTTTAAGGTAACTATGAAGTGAAGGAAGGCTCTGTTTAAGGTATCTATGAAGTGAAGGAAGGCTCTGTTTAAGGTAACTATGAAGTGAAGGAAGGCTCTGTTTAAGGTAACTATGAAGTGAAGGAAGGCTCTGTTTAAGGTAACTATGAAGTGAAGGAAGGCTATGTTTAAGGTAGCTATGAAGTAAAGGAAGGCTCTGTTTAAGGTATCTATGAAGTGAGGGAAGGCTCTGTTTAAGGTATCTATGAAGTGAAGGAAGGCTCTGTTTAACATATCTATGACATGAAGGAAGGCTCTGTTTAAGGTATCTATGAAGTGATGGAAGGCTCTGTTTAAGGTATCTATGAAGTAAAGGAAGGCTCTGTTTAAGGTAACTATGATGTGAAGGAAGGCTCTGTTTAAGGTAACTATGAAGTGAAGGAAGGCTCTGTTTAAGGTAACTATGATGTGAAGGAAGGCTCTGTTTAAGGTAACTATGATGTGAAGGAGGCTCTGTTTAAGGTAAACTATGAAGTGAAGGAAGGCTCTCTTTAAGGTAACTATGAAGTGAAGGAAGGCTCTGTTTAAGGTATCCTATGAAGTGAAGGAAGGCTCTGTTTTAAGGTACTATGAGTGAAGGAAGGCTCTGTTTAATGTATCTATGGAAGTGAAGGAAGGCTTCTGTTTAAGGTAACTATGAAGTGAAGGAAGGCTCTGTTTAAGGTAACTATGAAGTGAAGGAAGGCTATGTTTAAGGTAGCTATGAAGTAAAGGAAGGCTCTGTTTAAGGTATCTATGAAGTGAGGGAAGGCTCTGTTTAAGGTATCTATGAAGTGAAGGAAGGCTCTGTTTAACATATCTATGACATGAAGGAAGGCTCTGTTTAAGGTATCTATGAAGTGATGGAAGGCTCTGTTTAAGGTATCTATGAAGTAAAGGAAGGCTCTGTTTAAGGTAACTATGATGTGAAGGAAGGCTCTGTTTAAGGTAACTATGATGTGAAGGAAGGCTCAGTTTAAGGTAACTATGATGTGAAGGAAGGCTCTGTTTAAGGTAACTATGAAGTGAAGGAAGGCTCTGTTACTTGGTAACTGTGATGTGAATGAAGGCTCTTTTTAAGGTATCTATGATGTGAAGGAAGGCTCTGTTTAAGGTAACTATGATGTGAAGGAAGGCTCTGTTTAAGGTAACTATGAAGTGAAGGAAGGCTCTCTTTAAGGTAACTATGAAGTGAAGGAAGGCTCTGTTTAAGGTATCTATGAAGTGAAGGAAGGCTCTGTTTAAGGTAACTATGAAGTGAAGGAAGGCTCTGTTTAATGTATCTATGAAGTGAAGGAAGGCTCTGTTTAAGGTAACTATGAAGTGAAGGAAGGCTCTGTTTAAGGTAACTATGAAGTGAAGGAAGGCTATGTTTAAGGTAGCTATGCAGTAAAGGAAGGCTCTGTTTAAGGTATCTATGAAGTGAGGGAAGGCTCTGTTTAAGGTATCTATGAAGTGAAGGAAGGCTCTGTTTAAGGTAACTATGATGTGAAGGAAGGCTCTGTTTAAGGTAACTATGAAGTGAAGGAAGGCTCTCTTTAAGGTAACTATGAAGTGAAGGAAGGCCTCTGTTTAAGGTATCTATGAAGTGAAGGAAGGCTCTGTTTAAGGTAACTATGAAGTGAAGGAAGGCTCTGTTTAATGTATCTATGAAGTGAAGGAAGGCTCTGTTTAAGGTAACTATGAAGTGAAGGAAGGCTCTGTTTAAGGTACTATGAAGTGAAGGAAGGCTATGTTTAAGGTAGCTATGAAGTAAAGGAAGGCTCTGTTTAAGGTATCTATGAAGTGAGGGAAGGCTCTGTTTAAGGTATCTATGAAGTGAAGGAAGGCTCTGTTTAACATATCTATGACATGAAGGAAGGCTCTGTTTAAGGTATCTATGAAGTGATGGAAGGCTCTGTTTTATGGTATCTATGAAGTAAAGGAAGGCTCTGTTTAAGGTAACTATGAAGTGAAGGAAGGCTCTGTTTAAGGTATCTATGAAGTGAAGGAAGGCTCTGTTTAAGGTAACTATGATGTGAAGGAAGGCTCTGTTTAAGGTAACTATGATGTGAAGGAAGGCTCTGTTTAAGGTAACTATGAAGTGAAGGAAGGCTCTCTTTAAGGTAACTATGAAGTGAAGGAAGGCTCTGTTTAAGGTATCTATGAAGTGAAGGAAGGCTCTGTTTAAGGTAACTATGAAGTGAAGGAAGGCTCTGTTTAATGTATCTATGAAGTGAAGGAAGGCTCTGTTTAAGGTAACTATGAAGTGGAAGGAAGGCTCTGTTTAAGGTAACTATGAAGTGAAGGGAAGGCTATGTTTAAGGTAGCTATGAAGTAAAGGAAGGCTCTGTTTAAGGTATCTATGAAGTGAGGAAGGCTCTGTTTAAGGTATCTATGAAGTGAAGGAAGGCTCTGTTTAACATATCTATGACATGAAGGAAGGCTCTGTTTAAGGTATCTATGAAGTGATGGAAGGCTCTGTTTAAGGTATCTATGAAGTGAAGGAAGGCTCTGTTTAGGTAACTATGATGTGAAGGAAGGCTCTGTTAAGGTAACTATGATGTGAAGGAAGGCTCGTTTAAGGTAACTATGATGTGAAGGAATGGCTCTGTTTAAAGGTAACTATGAAGTGAAGGAAGGCTCTCTTTAAGGTAACTATGAAGTGAAGGAAGGCTCTGTTTAAGGTATCTATGAAGTGAAGGAAGGCTCTGTTTAAGGTAACTATGAAGTGAAGGAAGGCTCTGTTTAATGTATCTATGAAGTGAAGGAAGGCTCTGTTTAAGGTAACTATGAAGTGAAGGAAGGCTCTGTTTAAGGTAACTATGAAGTGAAGGAAGGCTATGTTTAAGGTAGCTATGAAGTAAAGGAAGGCTCTGTTTAAGGTATCTATGAAGTGAGGGAAGGCTCTGTTTAAGGTATCTATGAAGTGAAGGAAGGCTCTGTTTAACATATCTATGACATGAAGGAAGGCTCTGTTTAAGGTATCTATGAAGTGATGGAAGGCTCTGTTTAAGGTATCTATGAAGTAAAGGAAGGCTCTGTTTAAGGTAACTATGATGTGAAGGAAGGCTCTGTTTAAGGTAACTATGATGTGAAGGAAGGCTCAGTTTAAGGTAACTATGATGTGAAGGAAGGCTCTGTTTAAGGTAACTATGAAGTGAAGGAAGGCTCTGTTACTTGGTAACTGTGATGTGAATGAAGGCTCTTTTTAAGGTATCTATGAATTGAAGGAAGGCTTTGTTTAAGGTAACTATTAAGTAAAGGAAGGCTCTGTTTAAGGTAGCTATGAAGTAAAGGAAGGCTCTGTTTAAGGTAACTATGAAGTGAAGGGAGTTTCTGTTTATGGAAAATATGAAGTGAAGGAAGGCTCTGTTTAAGGTATCTGTGAAGTGGAGAAAGGCTCTGTTTAAGGTAGCTATGAAGTAAAGGAAGATTCTGTTTAAGGTATCTATGAAGTGAAGGAAGGCTCTGTTAAAGGTATCTATGAAGTGAAGGAAGGCTCTGTTTAACATATCTATGATGTGAAGGAAGGCTCTGTTTAAGGTATCTATGAAGTGAAGGAAGGCTCTGTTTAAGGTAACTATGAAGTGAAGGAAGGCTCTGTTTAAGGTATCTATGAAGTGAAGGAAAGCTCTGTTTAAGGTATCTATGAAGTGAAGGAAGGCTCTTTTTAAGGTGTCTATGAAGTGAAGGAAGGCTCTGTTTAAGGTATCAATGAAGTGAAGGAAGGTTCTGTTTAAGGTATCTATGAAGTGAAGGAAGGCTCTGTTACTTGGTAACTATGAAGTGAAGGAAGGCTCTGTTACTTGGTAACTATGATGTGAATTATGGCTGTTACTTGGTAACTATGAAGTGAAGGAAGGCTCTGTTTAAGGTATATATGAAGTGAAGCAAGGCTCTGTTACTTGGTAACTATGAAGTGAAGGAAGGCTCTGTTTAAGGTAACTATGATGTGAAGGAAGGCTCTGTTAAAGGTAACTATGAAGTGAAGGAAGACTCTGTTCAAGGTAGTTTCTTTTTTAAATTTGGAAAAAATACCTATCTTTTTAAATACGGAAATCCGTAAACCTATTAGATTGAGCCCCTGTACCTCATTTTGGTAAAAGCAGGGTGTTTTAAAAACCCCCCAAGGTTTGTGGGTTCGTTTCCCATGGGGCCCAAAATAAAAAATTTAAATTCACTCATTTCTGCTAAAGAGTTTTTTTCATCTCCCTAAATGCTAAAATGAATTATTATGAAAACATCTTTTTAAGTTTCTTTATAAATTAAACCTAAAAAAGAAAATGCCCAACAAAGAGAGGATCAAGACAAAAAGAGAGAGAGAGGAGAGGGGGAGGGGAAGGGGAGAGAGAGAAAATAGAAGAGAGAGGGGAGAGGGGGCGAGAAAATTAGGGGGACCCGAGAGAGAAAAGGGGGAAAAGGAAAGGGGAGAGAAAAGGGGGGTTTTTTTGGTACGGGGGTTTTCCCGGGTTTCCCGGGGGGGCTCCTTTTCCCTCTTTTCCTCTCTCCCCTTTTCCCCCTCCCCTCCTTTCTCCCTCTCTCTCCTGTAAAAGGAAGAACGGAGAAGTGGTTAAATTTTAATGAGGTTTTGGGGTTTTGGTAGGGGGTCGGGGCCAGCCCTTTCTTTTTTCTCCCGTAAACCAAAACTTTTCTCCTGGGCTGTTACTGAGACTGAGTGCCCCGGGTTTTTGGGGGTTTGGAATGTTTCTTAAAGTTCTAGAACGTTGTAAGGTTCCTCCCACCGATTCCTTGACACCATTTTCAAAAAACACAACCATCACTCTCCTTCTCGGGGGTCCGCTTGGCCTGTCGGGGTCGGGGAGGGGCCAAAACCCAAAAGGGCTGTGGGAGTGTGTGTGGGGGGTGTTGGTGTGTGTGTTTTGGGTGTGTGTGTGGGGTTTTTGGGTGTTTCATGTCGTGATGCCTGCACGAGCAACAACGCCAAAACACCCCAAAACATCCTGTGCCCCCAGTATTTCGCCTGCCACTGCAACCTGAGGCCATTTACCAAGACTAAGAAAAATACATGATGAAAACCACCTTGGTTGTTTTTTTTTCATCTGCACGTACACTATGCCATTGATTACTTTTACTTTAACTCTTTAAAACTTTACTGGTCTGATTCTCAAATGGCACCCTTTTCCCCCGTTAGTGCACTTTTTGACCAGTGTACTACATGGGAATGGAAGCCATTTAGGCTTTGGGCCACATAAAACCTATTTTTTACCTTGAGTGAGGACTATTCCCAAGGGGGCTTAAAACTATTTGGGAAAACTTCATTCCAATGCCTTGCTCTAAACCAGGGGGGGAACTTTGAATTGGGGGGTTTTTGGGCAAAGCTAGGGGAGGGTTTTCCTTTTTAATGGGTTAAATTGTTTCTCATGTATTTGAGCCTGGAGAAGTGTCATTGTGCACCGCTTTAGCATGGCCCGTACTGTCACCAAAAGACTGGCCCACAAAAGGGACTACACCAGGGTAAAGTTAACTGGGGCCCCCTACGGGAGCTACAAAACCGGGGAAAATTTACTGGCCCATACGGGGCTCACCGGGGAATTTTGACTGGCCCACTACGTACTAACCAGGGGAAATTTACCCGGGCCCCCCTACGGGAGCTACACCAGGGTAATTTTAACTGGGCCCCTAAAAGGGGCTACCCAGGGGAATGTTAAATGGGCCCCCCACGGGAGCTACACCGGGGTAAAGTTAACCCGGCCCACCGGGAGCTACCCCGGGGAATGTTGACTGGCCCCCTCGGTGCTACCCCGGTAATGTTAATGGCCCCACGGTCTACACCAGGGGAAAAATTGACTGGACCCTATGGTATCTCCAGGGTAATGTTACTGGCCCACTACGGTAACCAACCAGGTAAAAGTTAAAATGGCCCACTATGGTACTAAACCGGGTAAGTTATGGCCCACTACGGTACTCAAACCCAGGGGATTTAAACTGCCCACTACGGTAGCTACACCGGTAATTTACTGGCCCCCTACGGTGCACAAAAACCCCGGGTAATTTGACTGGTCCCTATGGAGCATCCCAGGGGAACATACACCACACACAAACCACACACACAAACCCCAAAAATTTCCCACACCCCACCTAACATTTCAGGTTGGGGATTTGGATTTTGACCTCAAAACGAAAGCCACGGGTTTGGGGTTTTTTTTGGGGTTTCCCCCCTTT